TATAGGCATATTTGGAACTGTATTTTATATTTTTTTTTTTTTTTGGAAAAAAAAAAAAAAAATAAAAAAAAAAAGAGAAAAAAAGGGGGAAAAGAGGGGGAAGGGGGGGGGGAGAGTGAAGGGGGGGGGGGGGGGGGGGAGGCTGTCAAGTTTAACAGGGACGGCACTGCTAACTCTATTTAAACAAATGCAATATTTTTGACATGCGAGGATCTAATTTAGCCTTAAACTCAAAGATAAGTATAGACAAAATTGTTTATATATTTATAAAAACTACATTAACTAAGCAACGTAAAAATAACATTCTCTGAATCTAAAACTAAAATCTACTAAAATATAGGGTCAGCCTTGGGATTCTGTAACTCACTTTTCGAACTCGCACAGCGGTTTTTGCAGTGGCGGTCGTGAGCAGTCAAATCAGTCGTGAAGCAGTCATTTTACGATTTGGCATTCTGATAGACAGTAAACTACAATCTACCTCCTTATAGTTACAGAATCGCAAGGCACGTGGGGTAAATGCGAGTACCATAACTAAATTGACACATTCATCTTTATATATATAATTCTTCTGTGAGTGTGTATGTCACTGAACTTCTCTCAAACGACTGGACCGATTTTGATGAAATTTTTTGTGTGTGTTCAAGGGGATCTGGGAATGGTTTAGATTCACAAATCAGCCCGCCAGATGGTGCTGCAGTCGGTACTTTCATACTTTGCTTTACTAATTGCTTGAAATATCATGCAGGACAACGTCTGTCGGGTCCACTAGTCTATATATATTTTGTGGTCTTTTACAATTTACAAATAATTTTTAATGTGAATATTAAACATGTTTTAGGCTTTTGTTTGATGTAATTACTTATATTTAGTTATGGATGATTACAGATTAACTCTCTATTGCATTTTCCCGGTGTAAAGGGGTAAATGTAAAAAATATGTTAAAATTCTAATAGAGTAGATAGTTACTAATCTGGGGTAATAGCAATAAAATACGCAAATTGAAATATACTTTGGTTTTTATTGCAACGAGATCGGTAAAAGTCTGTCAATCCATCAGATTCAATAAGTTGTCAGAGTGTAGTGCAAGAAGTACATTTCATGTATAAGAGATGGCAGCACTAGTTTCTTTTGTGTGTAAACAGTTAAAGTTATGGTATTACATTTGTGAACGGGTGCTGCTTGTGACTGGTCGTAGACCGTACTTGAATTCGTGTATGCGGTGATGTTGGTTATTTCGACTATGTGTTTGCGTGTTGTTCCCACGAGAATGTAAGTGCGTGCTCCTATTTCACCATGCCTTCTGCTGATAGAGGACAAATCTTTGTTTTTAATTTATGTTATTATTATTAATTACTTAAAATGTCACATGGGACATGGTGTAATGATTGCAGCTCCTTACAAACATTTTGTAAAACAAAAAAATGGCAATTAAAAAGAGTGGCGGAGAGTTTATTGCCAGTTCTTCTCTCCCGTTCTACGCCCTTGATTTGAGAACTGGCAGTAAATATAAAATTAGAAGCATTAATATGTATTTCTTTACTGACAAGTCATAAGTGTACATTATGTTACCTATGTGATTAAATGATTTTTTTATTTTATTTATTTTTATTTTGCCCTGTTCATGCATTTACCCCACCTGACTATAATATAATAACTAAAATATTTTATTCAAAGGATTCCCTTAAGGCAAGGTTCCGCAGATACTGGCAGTGTTCGCCCTTTGAATTGCTATTTGCTAGACTAAATGTTTGTGTTTTTGTGTGTTAATAATATTTATCGAGGTTACATAACCTAACATATGCAGAATCCTTTGGTCATGCAGGGGATTGTCAAAAGAAATAGGTAGTAGTAGAAATAGTAATATAGTAATAAGTAATATAGTAATATAGAAAGTAAACATTCGGGTAACCAATACCATTTATATAAGCTTTCGTCGGGGAATTATTTGGAAAACATAATTAAGAAAAAAAAAACATATGCAGAAGTTTGTCTCATTAGGTGGCATTGGGACTACATGTATGGAATATTTTGTTTACATGGTAATATGTTGGTCTACATAACAAAATATCAGCAACAGTTTAAAAAAATAAAATAAAACATTCCTCCTAAATTCCCAAAATTTGTAGGAAGACAAACAAACACCAATTTATATAGACTTGTTTTATAAATAAGGGGAATAATATATTGCTAAGCCCGTGCAACTTACCGGAAGGCGTATAAAAGATAGGCCGTAAACATAACAGTGACCGTTTCAATGGTGCCAGCGATGTTGCAGCCCCGTAGCGCGCTTGGCCACACCAGGATAATTGATCTAGTATTGCCCTGAAAGTTGTTCTACATGACTAATGTCCGGTGAACAGTCAGCATACAAAATTATTTTAATTTATTTGCGGATGATACAATTTCTTACTTCATTTTCTCACCCATTCATTAATAAATTATGAATGTCTATTACGCAGCAGTAGTTTAAAGTATCACCCTTCATGGCTAATCGCAAGTGCTCTACATAACCCCAGCAAATTTTCCTAGTAGTTGTACTAAGCCCAAGAACTTTTCGTTATTTGGCGTACATGGTTTGTCGGAAGTAACTCTGAACGCCGTGTTGTCTATATATATATAATGAAAATGGTCTTCGTTTGAGGCTCAATCACGCCTAAACCACTGATGGTATCGACATGAAACTACCACCATTCGATGCGAAATTTTTCCTAGATGGTTTATGGCTATTTATTTATTAAATTCCAACGTTTTTTTATTGCTGTTTTACTTTTATGAAAATTTATCCATACGGACTTCACCGCGGAAACATTCGGGGAGGCTTCCTAGAACCTCTAAACGTCAACATCTGTTAAAAACTCGATTTTCGAAATATTTCAATTTTCTTAGCGGGAAGTTAAAAAGAAGAATAATAAAAATATGAAAAAAAAATAAAATAATGAAACATAAAATTTATTTTAATTCGTCCAGCAAAGCGGGCGCGAAACGGCTAGTTTTCATATAAATAAAGAATTATATGCATCAATATATACAAAACATTTTTCCATCTGGTAGTTTCCTTTCTAATCAAATGTTGCTTATGGCAATCTATCATTTGTCATATAAATAAATCGATATTAAATCCCATCAGCTTACTAATCTAGAATGGATAAATTGCGCTAAAAACAAAACTAAAGTGTCCTGGAACGTAATTAAAACAAATATAGGTGACATGACACTTTATTCAGAAATAGAAGCAATTAATATCGGTAATAACTGACCACATGAAATATGCAACCTATTTAATGACTATTTTACCTTACCTCCACAATCCACATTACTACAAATAACATATAACAAAACAATTTAATCGTGCGCATTTGATCCACTGAGATACATAATTAATTTATCGATAGTAGAAGAGGTCTTCCCCGAAAAACTAAATATATCAATCAAACCATTACATAAAAAAGAAGCAAAAACACAAATGACTAATTATTGACCCAATAGTTTTAATTGCCATATTATCTAAAATTTTCGGAAAAGTTATGTATAATCAAATAGAGAATTTCGATTTAAAAATAAGAACATTTGGTTTCGAAAAAAATTGTGCTCCCACCCTTCCGTGCTTGTTTCAAGGTTGCATGCTTTTGACTTTGTACTTCCTACTAGACGTAAAAATTGACAATGTCCTACTTTTGAAAAATTATTACATAATTATTTGCATGAAACATTATAATTAATTAATGTGATAAAAAATATAAGAATTGACTATAATGATATGACTCATTATGTAACTGTAGGTACCTTTTATTTAAAATTCTACCTTTTAAGACAAAATTGCACGAAATTATGTGCGTATCACCATAACATTTTTATACCATATTCTTGCAAATAAATTATTATTATTATTTCCCGGTTTTAATAGTAGTTCCGCATCAATCCATGAATAATATAACTTCTTAGGAGCAGCCTTGCGATTCTGTAACTAACGTTTTGAACTCTCACAGCGGTTTTCGCAGCGGCGGATAAGGAGGGAGCTTGTAGTTTATTGATTATCAGAATGCCAAATCGTAAAATGACTGCTTCACGACTGATTTGAGCGCGACCGCCGCTGCGAAAACAGCTGTGCGAGTTCGAAAAGTGAGTTACAGAATCGCAAGGCTGATGTCTTCGTTTGTATACCAGATGTACATGCCAAATTCACGTTTTGATTTTTGTTGTGGTATATTTATTATTCATAGAAATTTGTTTTTTAAATTCTAACAAAACGATTTTTCGCCCGAATTCTATTGACAGAACAAAAAAGTTGAATAGAAAAATTTGCAGTTAATTTTTTCTCAATTAAAGGCGAGAATTTTGTAAACAAATTGATAAATAAAAAAAGGGTGCGTGTAGTTATATACGCGCGTAAGAAGTTATACTTCTTTGGCATTATTAATAATACAACTTCAATTGTATTGAAGTACTTAGGAAGATTGATGAGCACAGTTTTTTCACAAATATTTTCTAATATTACCTAATTAGTATTGATTTAAATATTCAATTTAAATCACTTCTGATTATAATTCAGACGCACTTGTATCATGAAAATAAAATGATAACACGTGTTTTAAATGTAGAAACTCAAAGCATGTGGATAAATATTATAAATATAAATACACAGTGAACAGAGGCGGCGTGCGTGCCAACATGCGCCACTAACAGAGGTTCCATTTCGGTTTTGTTGGTAGCATTTTTTCCTCAACTTAATGAGCGATTTAGTGGGCAACTTCATTCTGTTAATTTTGTGTCACGGTGCGCGCGCATCGTAAAATTTCACTCTCATCCATTTTTCATAACGCGCCTAAAGAAGTATAACTTAAAAAAAAAACTACAATTTGCGCCCCGGCCCCCCTTCATATTTGAAGTATTTATTTTATTGTATTATAGCGTAAGTTGTAGCGATGAATAATCGCCCTGGAATGAATAACCCAACCCGTCGTACCCTAACGTCGCTACTGCAATCGTAAAAGATTGTCTTGTTAGCTTTGTCGTATCTTCGGCTTCTGGTTAAGTATATTAATTAGTTTTGTATACCTATCATGTTCAGGTAATGGCACACGGCTTATTCTGTCATCAATATTTAAACATTTTCTTTCACCTTTCTTATAGTATGGCCACGATATTTCTTGTCCCGTCCAAGTTGGTTTCCTGAAAATAAAAAATATATATAAATTAACCAATAAAACAGGTATTAATGAATGTTCGTGCCTATAGTATACATTTTATATATTTATTTATTAGTAATTCGTATGGACCAAGAATTTTTCCAGCCGCTTGGATGGTGAGAGAGCTAAATGTGGCGCTCCTTCATAAACAAAAATATTGTTTAAACAAATGGCTTGCTCTTGACATTTTTTTGTGCGCCACTGCATATTCGAGACTGTTATTACAGCCAACATAATTATGACACGCTCAATTAATCACAAAAAAAGAGCAAATGCCTTCCTTCAACCTTTACCACCTTTCGGTGGTTTTTAACTTTATCAGACAGTGGTGGGAACGTTTCTTCTAGTATTTAGAGAATAATAAAAAGTTTTTAAAAACTTACCCGTTTTTTGCGAAGTTACACAACGCCTCAGTCAACATATCAACAAGTTTCATATCTTGTTCACTAAAAGTGTTTCTTCTTTTCTCTGTGTAAAATAGAAATTGTAATATATCGCTGTGTGTAGAGCCTTTTACTCCTAAACGTTTCATAACACGCGAATTTTCGTATGCAAATCTACAGAAATAGAAATCGTCGTTTCTAGAAAATAAGTCTGCTGTGTAGATTACGTCTCTGGTAACAAACAAATCTGAAACGAAATCTAAGTATTGGACTAGTGTTGAAGGACCAATTTCTTTATCTTGAAAGTACAATTCTTTTAGTTGTTTCTCCATATCCATTAATTGCACAGCATCCTTATCTTCTAATGCAGGACTCGGTACGAATTTCAATATATCTTTGTTAAATTTAATTTGTCCTGACGGAGGAGTTATAAAGTAAGCCGATTCGTGGGTTGCCACACTCATAAGAGCTGGAACTTTAGAATAATTATTAGTTCTTAACGACTGTAGAGGATACTCATCCAGAAATGGTTCGACATTATCGTATTCCTTTTCAACTGCTGGCCGTATAAAGCTGTGTACGCCATTTTTATTTGCACGAGAAGCTGTTTTCATCAAAGCCTTAATCAAATCTTCAGCAGAAGAGTTTCGAAGCAAATTATCTATTTCTTCAGAACTATTGATGTTATTTCCTAAATTTGAAGCAATATCCCTTGCTATTTTCAGATGATCATAGCCTATCATTACATCAGATACAGCTGTTGATAAGCCAATTATTCTTTTTAATATACCTTGAGTCATCTTTGAAATCAACATTAATGTAGTTATAATTGCGCCCACACTTTCTCCCATTCCTGTAATATTGTTTGAATCACCATTAAAATGTTCTATGTTTTGTTTCACCCACTTAAGGGCTGTAGCTGCATCTTTCAGTCCGGCATTACCGGGCACTTCTGGTGTTTCAAGATTAAGAAATCCAAAAATATTGTGACGGTAGTTAATTGTGACTAGAATGACGTCTTGACGTATTAAGTAATCTGGACGATATATGTGGCCGCATCCCCACTGTAAATTACCGCCATATACGAAGAATAGTACTGGAAGACTTTGTTGTTGTTCATCAGGAAATATTGGAGTGTACACATTTAAATATAAGCAGTCTTCTGAACCTTCTATAGATTGGTTAAAGGGATTTATTTGCAAGGGTTTATTTCCAGGTTTCGTTGCGTCAAGTACTCCACACCAGTTATCAAATTTCTGAGGATCCTGTGAATTAGTTTTGATATCATTTCGATTATTTTAAAACAGGACACGGTGCCGTACGATTAGCGAAAATCTGTTAAGGTCCCATGATTTAAAGAAAAAGGTCACAAGAAGATTGTAAAATTTTTGTTGGAATAAGCTTGCTAGCGTTGTCAAAAAATTGTATGCGAAGATATTCATTGACAGAGTGATAAAATTATGGTATGTGAAAGCAGGAATTAAAAAGTGGTGCTTCGATCAGGTCCTTTCCTTACTAAGCATTGTCAAAATGCATTTCGCGAAAGGCCAAAAGGTTTACTGTACTTTTGTAGATTTGAAAAAGGCTTACGAGGCGAGAAATAAATAATGGTCAGCGTTGTCTATGTACGGGGTGAGCGGCCAGTTGATTCAGGCGTTGGAATATCTAAATACTGATTTTACAGCATGCGTCAGAACCAACAAAATCTGCACGGGTTGGTTTCCTATCGATAAAGGTGTGAGACAGGGTTATCTTGCCTCCCCGTGGCTGTTCAACCTATTAATTGGCACTTGTCTGAAAGATCATATCTTTTAGTAAACGGAGATTAAAAAGGCCAGCTACTACCTAGTGATACTTGTGTCTTTGGTGTCGGTATTGCAGAAACTGGTAACAGTTATGAAAAACGCTTGGAATGTTAAGAGGATAAAAGTGAATATAGGAATAACAAAATCTATGGTATTTGAAATAGGTGTCAATAGGACTGTATGCGATATTTTGATAGATGGAGAAAAAGTGGAATAAGTGGAAAAGTTCGTCTACGTAGGATGTATGTTTACTTCGGATGGAACGTATGACTATGTGTAGAAAGACGAGTGAATGCTGGAAATAAAGTAAATTGAGCCAAGTAGTAAAGTGAGCTCAAACGAGGCTCGACTGGCCGTACATAGGGGAGAGAATATTGAGTGTAACAGAAAAAGAATGGAAGTAGAATAAATACCGTGGAAATGATAGCGTTTAGAAGCATGTGTTTTACACTGCATTATAGGGTTAGTAATAATAGGATACTGGACAAATACGGGTTAAAAGAGCATAATGACAAGGATGTTAAAGGGAATGCTTAGGTGGTTTGGCCATGGAGAACGGATGACTGAGGAAGAGTTGATAAGTACAACAAGAGTTATACAAGGCTACCGTGAATGGTGAAGTCGGATTGGGTAGGAGAAACTAGAGAAGGGACAATTTAAAAGTACCCATAACCGACGAGCATGGTGAATGTCATGAAAGCATGAAGCAAAAGAGGTATGTCGAGACCGTAGCAAGTGGAGATCTGTGGTCTCTGCCTACCCGGGAATGTAAATAAATAAATGTCATTATAGGCAGTGTTCTTACTTAACGCGGGCAAAAAATATTCGGTGTGAAATGACGACGCACGACAGTGCATTTTCATTACTGATAATACAGTCTGTTAGTGGCCCCAAAAGGGTGGACTAATTGTACTTACCCTGAATCTGAGGGGCCCCAAAGGTGGCTTAGCGTAGGGTATCCCCTCGAAGCTATAGTACTGTTTACCACACGGAGTAGTGCACACTTTACCTCTCATCTTTCCCTGAGGTACTGTCACATGGCAATCGGACTTATCTGGAAAAAAAGGAATTCGTGTATATACTGAATCTCACCACGAAATAATAATGTAATAATTAAACCTTCATTTCCGACAAAGCGAGCCAAAACAGCGTCTTTAATATAAACATACTCACTGTGGTAAAATTTTACGGGGTTTGCAATGATTTTCCTTATTGAACACTTCAGCATTTTTCGATACATCTTTTGTAACTGAAGTTAAGTCTCTCGAAACTTTTCAAATATATAATATTACGAACATTATACTACTATCCTTAATGTAGTATGTCCAAAAATTTTTACTTTTACGCAGACGGCCAGAAAATTTTTATATTTTTAACTCTTGTTTTAAGCGGTACAGATGTGTGGAAAATCAGTTGTGCTGTTATCTAAAGAGAGGATTCTCGACCAATCCAATTATACCCGAAGGCCCAAGTGACTGATTGATTTGGTATTGCCCACGGACACTTTTTGATGACATCAGAGTGGCATATTGTAAATGTCGCTACAAATGATGGTGTTGTACCGTTTCAAAAAGCATGTTATAAGCATCTCGAAGCAAAAAAGATAACTTTGCACATTAAGTATATGCTTAGGGTAAGATTCAGAGTCGAGACTTAGAGCTAAATATGACTCAATGGATTTAAGATTTTGACAAACGAAGATGGCGGTCTCTAAAGACATCTCAAAGGGTCTTTTAAAAATATTGTTTAATGTCCGCACAAAACTAACACAGCCCAAAGCAAAAGCTTAATATTCTAAGTTAAAGCAATTGTTTAGCTACGTGTCAAATGGTGGACGCCATAGCGTAATTAACGCATTTTCAGGTTTAAATTAATTAATTAAATAATGAATAATGTATCAAACGGACCGTGAAATGGAAAATTTTCAACTGTTATGCCGTTTCTCCACTGATCCAAGCATCCAAGAGGTGAAAAATTATTATTCACAGGTTTATTTATATATAGTTTCTTTAATTTGAAAGAATCTGCATAACTTGGACCAAACCAAATTATTTTGCTATTTATTTATATTTTTATACCATAGTGTTAGTGAACTATTTATTAAGTAGATTATAACAGTCTCACGCGTGCGCGCATTGAGGTGTGTTGTGTTTTTCGTTACGGAGCTATCGCAGCGACGTAAATTTCGTTATTACAAATATGACGGACGTTGTGAAATGTAACTTTTGCAACATTGTTTTAGATGAGCTATTATCGTATATCCAAAATAAAATATCGATAATGGATGAAGTGTCGTTAGTTAAAATTTGTGTGTCGGCATTTACGAGTGAAGAAATTTGTAACTCGAAATCATTATTGTTTAGTGCACTACCGGCAGATCGCCGACAAATACAGCGAAAAAAAAAGGGAAAAGAATCTCGAGATATGGATGACATCATTTCCTTGTTTAAATCTACAGAACCTGAGATCTTACCAGTATTTGCTGCAAGACAACTGGAAAAACTACCTCCTATTACATTTGATCATCTTGACTGCACGAAATTATTGAAGGATTTAACTAGAATGTCAGCGGAGATTGAGACTATTAAAAATAACTACGCTACTCTAAACCACTTAGAAGATTTAAAGCAAGTCGTTAATAGATTGAAACACACGCCGATAGCTACCACGCCCTGTCACAATATAAACAATCGACGTGGTGCATGGGCTAGAAATGGTGGCCCTAGAGATCCATCGCAGAGCATTAACTCGTCATTAAATGACTCGCACAATTCAATTAACTCCAATTGCGAGTCAAACAATAAAGACCCACTTTATCGAAGTATCAGTGAGGGTAGTGTGGTTCGCGAAAACATGCATTCGACGATTATGTCGGCCGGGACCGGTATTATGACTCATACCATGACGACAGGGGCGACGGTAAATGCGGTGGCTTCAGCGGAGACAAGCGTAACTCAACAAATGAGCTCTGGACAAATGATCGAGACGGTTTTTTCAGTTGATAATGTCGAGCCCACGGATGGTGCGTGGCAAACCGTTACGAGACGTAAAACAAAATGTAAACAACGTTTTGCAGGAATGACGGGTCAAGCCAGTGACGGTGTTAATTTCAAGGCGGCGGAAAGGTTTATACGTATTTTTATAAGCAATGTACATAAAGATACGGTTGAATCGGATATCATAGATTATGTTTTCAAGAAAACTCAAGTGAATATATCGCAAAAAAAATATCAATTAAAAGACATAACAACCATTTAGCGTACAAGTTCATGATACCAAGGGTCGCTCGACAGCCGATGCCGGTGTTGAGTTATATGAAGTTAAGGTTGGGAGGAGTCGATGACGCTTTAGGTGTTTTCTGCGACTTATCCAAAGCATTTGTTGTGTCCAACACGAGACCTTAATCGGGAAACTCCGCCACTTGGATCAGAATACCGCACTGAATCTTTGACTTCCTATTTACACGGAAGAACTCAGAAGGTTGAAGTGAATGGTAAGAGGTCCTCTGGTCGGCAGTAGATATGGGGTACCACAGGGCTCAATTCTTGGCCCTTTCCTCTTTCTTGTTTATATAAATGATCTACCTTTCATGGTAGAGAGAAAACATCAGATAGTTTTTTTGCTGATGACACGTCCTTGATTTTTAAAATCAAACGACAAATAACAAATTTTGACGATGTGAACAACTTTCGTTGTCCATGGTTTGTATGAATACCTTCTATTTCAAAAAGACAAAATGCATTAAATTTTGTGCAAAAATGCAAGGGTTATGGATACTAGACCAATTATAATGAGGAATTGAATCTGGATGATACAACTGTATTTCTGGAATCACCATGGATTCAAAACTTCAGTGTCCCCTCATTTAACGGATTGGGAAGAGACTTATTCTGCAGCCTACCGGTTAAAAAAATTCGCTCACTAACTGATGTCGATACAGCTAGACTTGTTTATTTTAGTTACTTTCATAGCTTAATGACTTTGGTTATTATTATGGGGTCATGTGCTGATGTCGAAACTATTTTCATCCTGCAGAAGAGGGCTATTCGTGAATCTATAATTTAAAATGTAGGGAATCTCTTAGAGATAAATTCAAGGAAATTAATATACTTACCTTTCCCTCGCAATATATTTATGAAAATATTATGTATGTATACAAAATAGTGATAAGTTTACTAGAATAGAACATACGCACAATGTTAATACACGGAACAAACGCAGGCTGCAATTTCCCCGTACTAGACTATCTAATTAGTAATTTTTTTTGGGGAAAGGAATACTCTTCTTTAATAAAATCCCAGAGGCTCTTTTATCACTGCCTTTCAATAAATTTAAGAAATGTATTAAAGAAAAGCTGTGTAAAAAGGCTTACTATAAAGTCAACGATTATCTAGTTGAAAAAGGGCCTGGGACTAGTCTAGACAGGCTACTTCTAATCAATTTGGATATTTGTTTTAAAAAGTGTTGTTTGATATTTGTTTTTAAAAGAGTACCGAGAGTTTTTTACGCCGGTTTTTCTCTCGCTACACCCTCTGTCTTCTTTGCGATGAGTAGGGATCCTTCAAATTTAATGACGTGGAATAAGTGATACATGTATCTTATGTTCCATAATAAACATATTTTATTTTTTTTTATTTTACCTGAGGACAATTTGTCATTATTTTTAGATGATAAACTCTGGCCTAAAGGAATTATTTTTAGGCGCTTTGTACATTATAAAAAAAAATCACCATATTATAAATGAAACAAATATGAATTCCGGCCTTGTAAATGTAAACAATGGATAACGGCGTATACGCAATGACAACATTTAATTGTTAAAATATTAAACGATCCTTAGAGTGTAACAGGGATTTATGTCGTCACTCAGACATCATAGCTCTTCAGGAAACATGGTTGCTACCGAGCGAGATCTCATATCTTGGCAGTATTGAGGCGGACTTCGGGTACACGGGAACATCAGCGATGGACACATCAGAGGGAATGCTGCGGGGGAGGCCCTATGGAGGGGTGGCCCTGCTGTGGAGGAGGAGTGTGTTCAATAATGTGGTAGTGTTACCGAGTAATAATTCTCGAGTTTGTGCAATAAAAATAATAACGAGTGATCGACCCATAATCGTAGTGTGTGTGTACATGCCTACGGACTCGCAGGACAACTTGCCAGTGTTTACGGACTGTCTAAGTGTGGTGAATGCTATTGTTGATGAGTATGGCATAGAATCTGTTTACATACTAGGGGATTTTAACACGTTCACTGCGTAACAGGCCGATATCGGCCTGCCGCGGTATTTCAGCTGGTGCGGACGAAGAAATCTATGTCCCTCTCGCTGGTGCGTAACGATTATCTCAGGTGTTTGTAAAAATTCGACAGGGACAAATATATATTTCATCTTGCGGTCAAAATTGTAGGTGTTCCCCATCAAAACATAACGGCAGGCTTTTATCGACCTACCACGCACTGACGCTGCTGTGCATCCACTGAGAGTTAATCTATCCTAGTGCTGTTGGGTCTAGAAAGACCTGCCACGCACTGGCGGAAATATCATTGGGGGCGCATTTTGGCCCGCCGCCGCACCTGATGAAGAATTATGATTTTACTTGCCGCAGTGAACGTGTTAATGCGCATCCGTACTCGTTATTTTACTATGAACTTTTAAATTATTGTTATGATCAAAGGTGGTCATGTATAGATGTTGAGTTGCTTGGACCGCACTCTGACACTTATACTTTTGTTAGTGAGGCTCACGGATCGCGGAGGTGGCTAGATCATTGTTTAGTGACAGACGCGGCCCGCCATTCAATATCAAAAGTGTATATTATGTATGATGTGTTGTGGTCAGATCATTACCCGCTTATACTTCATTTTAATATCAAGATTATTAGTAAAAAGTTGTCCTCTATACAAAGTAACTCTGTAAACAATAACGTACGTTGGGGTCAAAGATCCGAGGAAGAAATATTGTTATATCAAAGTGAATGTAACAAGAGGTTAAAATCAATAGATTTTCCAGAGATATTTACGGATTGCGCAGGTTGTTATTGTGAAAGACCTAATCATCAAGGTGCAATTGATATATTATATAATAATATTGTTATTTCTCTTAGTGAGGCAGCCGTGTCCAGTCGGAAATACCCTAATAAAAATAAAATTAATGATAGAAATCAAAATATTATAGGTTGGAACAAACATGTGAAGCCGGCGCACTCGGAAGCGAGGCTGAGGTTTAGGATTTGGTTACT